TGCTGCTCGGCCTGCTGTGTTCATCCAGCTTTACACCTTGTTATCTCTGCTCCGTTGTTACTCTTTCAGTCCTTCGTTTAGGAACATTTGCTGCAATTCCATGTTAGGTAGCTCCTTATCACAAGATTGCTCAGCAAACTAGCGCATTAAGCTGTAATCACATATCCTCCACTGTTCTTATGCTGATATAAGGTTGGCTTCTTTTCCCATCATGCTTTGATTTTAGCTCTTAGCTATATGGCTGTACACCACACCACAGGTACCTGAAAATTGTGAAATAACAACGCTCATGAAGAAGTCCAATGTCAGAAAGATAGTTAAACTTGGATCCTGAGGGAGGGTCGCTTGACCTGAAACGTTAACTCTGATTTCTCTCCACAGATGCTGCCAGGCCTGCTGAACTTTTCCAGCAATTTCTATTTTTGTCTCTGATTTACAGCATTCACAGTTCTTTTGTTTTTTTTTCAGTTAAACTAGACGAGAACTCTTATGGTGTGGGAGCAGGCCATTCAGCCCATCAGGTCCACACCGACCCTCTGGGCGGAATGCTGTTCAGATCAATCCCTCTATCCTATCCCTGTAACCTTGCATTTCCCATGGCTAACCCACCTAATTTGCCCATCCCTGGACACTACGGGGCAATCTAACGTGGCCAATCCACCTAACCTGCATATCTTTGGACTGTGGGAGGAAACCAGAACACCCAGAGGAAACTGAGGAAGGATCACTAGACGTGAAACGTTAACGCTGATTTTTCTTCACCGATGCTGCCAGACCTGCTGAGTTTATTCAGCAACTTCTGTTTTTGTTCCAATCTTACTCTTTGGTTTGCTTTAAATATGGGCATGTGTGGGGGCATTGTTCTATCTATCGTATGGTCTTCTGGTGGTTAATGTTTTGTGAGCTGTAGAAGACAAAATCCTACTGGGGATCATGGGTAACCTGAACCTGATGGTCAAGCAGGATTACCTCCAGCAGACACATTTGGTGAGTCCTCCTCACTTCCCAGTCCAGTTGGTAATCAGGGGTATTAATTCCTCACTTTCACTGTAATGAAAGCAGTTGTATTTCTTTTATTCCCTTAATAGCTTTTTCTGTTTTAACCAACTAAACCAATGTATAAGGAAATTCCACTTAGCAGACACAGAATGTTTAAAACTGGAGGACTTGCTGAATGTTCACCTCCTATCCTCCCATTCACTTAACCCGCTTACGAAATTGAATCTTGCTATTATAAAATCATGTGGTTCGACTCACTAAAAGCAGCTTTAATAGATGATAATGGAAGATTAAGCTTTGTACTGAACTTGCATCTAATCATGTAATCTCTTAATTTATCAGTTTGACTTTCAAGGACTCCTAGAAGTTGACTCCATTTTTTTAAATCAACCTTGAAGTGTATCCATAACTTGTACAATAAAATTTGTTTCATCTGTTCTGCTGCAGACCAGAAATCACCCTTAATCCATAACTGTGTCATTGTGGAGATTAAAATGATAACTAATCCCATAAAATAGTAAAGTCAGGAATCGATCACTCACTTCCTTGAACCTGTTTTGTTGTTCAGTTCATTTGTTGATTGTATTGCCACTTCGTTTAACCAAATTTTTTTCAGACCTCTTGCTTAACAAAAAATCTAAGAATCTCAGTTTGAATTTTAGAATTAATTATTACCATACTCCACCTCGGTCTCCAAAGTATTTCAAAGAGAAATCTTGGGGGCCAGTAGTCCCTGTGTGGCAAAGTTCTTCTTGACATCACCTCTGAATGACCTTTAGTCTGATTTAAATTTTGTGCACCCTTGCTCTGAATTCTGCAATAGAAAAATAGTTTATTTCCACTTGCCCTATTAAATCTTTTAACTATCTTAAACACTCAGTCAGATCACCCCTTAATCTTCTATGTTCAGAGGAATTTAAGTCAAGTTTATTCAACTTGTCCTTGAATCAAGGCTTAAAGGAAGAAATTACATTTTCAAGTGAGTCTGTAATGCACTCTCTCCAAAAGCTTCCTGAGGTGCAGTAATTGAATTGGAATCCAATGGTTTTATTTTGATGAACAGTTTGTGATATGCAGTTTTGTCAATTTCTTTTGAAATCCATATAAATGACATCTAAAGACATTCCTGTAGCTAGACATTTGTCCCTCCTCAAAGAAGTTAAGCATGTTTGTTTCTGATGGTGGTTTCTCTAATAATTTCGTATTTGTCCAACTGCTCAGTCGATGTTCATAACAACAACAGAGCATAGCATCTGCCCACCCTCTTCCTCTCCCCACCTCCATTTCAGGTCTGTCATTTCCTGGATTAACTCTCCTGTCCTGCTTAAGTAATGGAATTACATTGAGAAATTTTCAATCCATTCCTTATGCATTTTTTTGATATTCTGAGATATCAATCTTATTTACATAACAAACTAACATCAAATCGATTCTCAGCCTTTCCTTGTACTTTGATTTGAACTTGGTAATGTGTGGTTAAACCATTCCAGTCTGATGCTGTTTTGTCTCACTGTATTTAGAGTCTATCTCTCTCCTATAGCTTCTTATACTGGGCCGACATAGGAGAACCAGCAAAAATTGAAAAGGCAGGGATGAATGGAGTTGGCAGAAGGATACTAGTCAACATTGGAATTGAGAAGCCTACTGGGATTGCATTGGGTAAGGCTGTCTGTTACCTACACACTTTATGTCGTGGATCTAACCATAGATCAGTCTGCTTTGAGACTATTTGATGTGTAATGAGGCAGGTTGCATAAATTATCAGTTAAACATCCCGACAGGTGACCATGACATGGTAGAATTTAACATTCAGATTGGAAGTGAGAAGCTTGAATAGGAAACAGCTATTCTAAACTTAAGAGTTGGCAATAGAGTGTGAAAAGGGTTTAGAAGAAAAGACTTTTCAAGAACAGTGGTGGATTATTAACCAAATAATTAATGATTAACAGCAAAGATGTATCCCAGTGAGGAAAAATGGTTCTAGGAAGGGGATAAACCAACTGTCAGTAACCAAGGAGGTTAAGAAAATTATCGGATTTAAAGAAAAAATTACAATATGTTAAAGACCAGTGCAAACCAGAGGATTAGGAAAGCTTTTAAAGCTTGTTAAAGATGATTGGGGGTGGCTGTTTGCAGATAAATGGACGTCTGGCAGGTAGGGGACGTTCAAAACTCAGATAGCAGGGCCAGCATGTTCCTGTTAGTGTGAAGGCAAGGCTGGCAGTAGTACGGGAAATTGAATGACTAGAGATATTGAGGCTCTGGTCCAGAAGAAAAGGAGGCATGTCAGGTGTAAACAGCTGGGTGAAGTGAATCACTTGAGGAATATAGGCGGTTTAGGGGTACACTTCAGAGGGAAATCAGGAGGGTGAAAAGGTGTGATGAGATAGCACTGTCAGTTGGGTAAAGGAGAAATCAAAGGGATTCTACAAGTATATTAAGGACAAAAGAGTAACTAGGGAGAGAATAGGGCCCCGTGCAGAAAAATGAGGCTGTCTTTGTGTGGAACTACAGGAGATTGAGATCCTAAACAAATATTTCCCATCAGTATTTAATGTGGAGAAAGACATGGAAGGTAGGGAACTCGGAAATAAATAGTGACGTCTTGAAAAGAGCCCATGTGACAGAAGAGGAGGTGCTAGAGACTTCAAAAAGCATAAAGGTAGATATAACCCCAAGACCTGACCAGGACATTGTGGGAAACTAGGGAAGAAATTGTGGGGTCCTTAGCGGAGATATTTGTATTATCGATGGTCGTGGGTGAGGTGCCAGAAGACTAAAGGGTGACTAATGTTGTGCTGTTATTTAAGAAAGGCTGCAAGGAAAAGCCAGGGAACTGCAGATTGGTGTGCCTAACATCAGTGGTGGGTTAGTTGTTGAAGGGGATTCTGAGAGACAGGATCTGCATGTATTTGGAGAAGCAAAGACTGAGTAAGGGTAGTCAGCATGGCTTTGTGCGTGGGAGATCGTGTCTCAGATTTTTTTGAAGAGGTGACCAAGAAAGTAGATGATGGCAGAGCGATAGACATTGTCTATATGGACTTTAGCAAGGCCTTCAATAAGATTCCGAACGGTAGACTGGTTAATAAAGTTAAATCACTTGGGATCCAGGGACAGCTAACCAATTGGGTACAAAATTGGCTTGATGATAGGAGACAGGATGGAGGTAGAGAGTTGTTGTTCAGACTGGAGGCCCGTGACTAGTGGTGTGCCACCAGGATCGGTGCTAGATCCACTGTTGTTTGTCATTTATAAAAGCAATTTGGATGAGTTTATAGGAGGCATGGTTAGTAAGTTAGTGGATGATGGGAAAATTGGTGGTATAGTGAACAGTGAAGACAGTTTTATCTAAGACTACAATGGGATCTTGATCAACTGGGCCAGTGGGCCGAGGAATGGCAGATGTAGCTTAATTTAGATAAATGCGAAGTATTGCATTTTGGTAAGACAAACCAGGGCAGGACTTACATCGGTAATGGTAGGACCCGGGGAATATTGTTGAACAGAGAGACCTTGGGGTGCAGGTACATAGTTCCTTGAAAGTGGTGTCATAGGTAGATAAGGTGATGAAGAAAGCATTTGGCGTGCTTGCCTTCATCGTCAGAACATTGAATATGGGTGATGGGACATCATGTTATTGCTGTGCAAGACATGGGTAAGACCACATTTGGAGTACTGCATGCAATTCTGATTGCCCAGCTATAAGAAGGGTTTGATTAGACTGGAAGGGGTCCAAAAAAAAATCACAAGGATGTTACTGAAACTGGAAGGTTTGAACTATAAAGAGAGGCTGGATAGGCTGGGACTTCTTTCACTGAATGTAGGAGGCTGAGTGGTGACCTGATGGAGGTTTATAAAATTATGAGGGACATAGATAAGGTGAATAGCCAAGGTCTTCTCCCCAGGGTTGGGGAGTTCAAAAAAGTAGACAAAGAAAAACAGGTAGAGACCAGTTAGCTTACTTTCTGTGAATGGGAAAATATATGGGTCCATTATAAAGGATGTAATATCAGAGCATTTAAAAATACATAATATGTTCAAGCAGAGCCAATGTGGCTTCATGCTTGACAAATTTATTAGAGTTCTTAGAGGAAGTAAGAAGCAGGCAAGATAAAGTAGATGTAATAAAAAAGGCAATCAATTAGGTACTGCACATAAGGTTATATAAGAACTAGGAGCAGGAGCAGGCAATTCAGCCCCTTGAGCCTGTCGTGCCATTTGATATCATCCTGACTGATCTCATCTCTGCACCACTTCCACTTTCCTGGCCACTTTACATAACCCTTCAACCTATTAGTAATTAAAAATCTGTCTAGCTTCTCCTTAAATGGCAACATTTAACTATTGGAGTGCTACAGGGATCAGTGGTGGGGCCACAATTATTTACAATATATATTAAAGACTTAGATGATGGAAGAGAATGTGCTGTCATCAAGTTTGTGAATAACGCAAAAACAGATGGGAAGGCAAGTAGTGAGAATGATATGAGAGTTCTAAGTAGGTGAGTGATTGGTTAAAAACTTGGCAGATAGACTATAATGTGGGAAAATGTGAGGTTTTGCACTTCACAGGAAGGACAGAAGAGATGAATATTATTTATTTAACTGAAGAAAGGCTGCAGAAGTTGCGGCAAGAGGGATTTGGGAGTCCTTATCCATGAATCATGAAAAGCTAGCATCTGAGTGCGATGGGGTAATAGGGAAGGCAAATGGAACGTTGGCCTTTATTTCAGAGGAAATGAAATATAAAAATAGAGAGGTCGTACCAAAACCTTACAAGGCAGTCATCAGACCACAACTGGAATACTGTTAACAGTTTTGATCCCCTTATCAAAGGAAAGATATACTGGCATTTGAGGTAGGTTCCTTAGGTTGATTCCAGTATAGAGTGATTTCCTTGTGAGAAAAGGAATTCTTTACAGAGGGCTGTTGACGCTGGATCATTTGATACATTCAAGGCTAAGATTGACAGAACTTTAATCAGTAAGGGAATGTAGTGACATGGGAATAAGGCAGGAAAGTGGAGTTGAGGATTGTCAGATCTGCAGTGATCTTATTGAATGGCAGAGCCAACTAATAGGCTGTGTGGCCTGTTTCTGCTGTTAGGTTTTATGGTCACGCTTCACGACTTTAGTGCTTCAGAGCACTTCACCACCATTGAAAAACTGTTTGAATTGTAGTCATAATTGGAAATTTGGAAATGTGGCAGCTAAATTGTGCGTAGCAAGCTGTGAAAAATAGCAATGAGATGATCAGATAATCTGCCTTTGTGATGTTGATTGAGGCACAGAGATTGGCCAAGGGAAAAGAGTGAACTACCTTGTGCCATGGGATATTTTACACACGCCTGAGAGAACAGGGGTTGCTTTGAATTCACGTCGACCGAAAGACTATCTCCAACAACACTACTCTTCCTCAGTAGAGTATCATCGGAGATGGGTGCTTGAGGCTTTAGAATGGGACTCGAACCGATAATCTTATTCAAAGGCAAGAGTGCTACCCACTGAAATGTGTTGATGTTTACGCTGTTTCTTAAGAATTCGCAATGTGAAATGCTGACTAGGAGAAATTTTGGAGTCAAAATCTGTTGCTGTCTTAAAGATTTTAATTTTATTATGCTACCCTGAATTACTAAGCACACCATTCTCCCTCCTTCCCTGCTTTACGCACTGTTCTGAACAACATTGCCTATAAACCACAGGCTGTGCAGCTGCTGGGATGCTCTATGCATGTCGATCTACGAGTCAACGCATTGCTTTGCTTCCAGCAGCCTGTGCCACACAAGGACCTGTGAGGTCCATGCAGCAGCAAATTACAGGGAATGTTGACACTGAGTCACTTCTAACTTAGTTTGTTTACCTCTCTCCTGATTTGATTTCCTTCTTGCCTTCCCTTAATTCTTCCTCCTGAGAAATCCTTAGACTCTTATTTACGGTCACTGTCTGAAACTTCTATTCGTCTTCATGTTCTTAAATGTTTTGTGTAGTATTTCTATTTCCATGATCTCTCACTGTCGAAATGATTGCTGATCAATTTTTTTGTTCCCTCATCACCCTGAAAAGCCCTGTTGCTTTTAACTGCAGTTTCAAACCTCTTTGATCTTCCATTTGATATAACTTGTGCTCAACCACTCCCGTGCCTTAATCTTTGGTCTGCTCCCTAGTCCCTTTATTCTCTGCCGCCATGGGCACATATGAGGAGCTTGAAATTCTTTAAAGTTTGTCTAAACTCTGAAGTACCTGTGTCCTGCAAGAAATGTAAAACTTAGTTTTCATACATGTTTAAACTGCACATCTAAAGTGTTAATGGTAAAATAAAATTTAGAAGTCATGGAAGCCATGAAGCAGAAAATAAGGATAGGATAAGGCACAAATGTGATCCTTCCCATGACATACATAGTCAGTCTGCTGTGTGACATTCAATGTCTGGGCTCATTTAGAATTGGTTTCTGCAAGGAGTCAGCATTGTTAAGGAACATTGAAGAAATAAATGGAAACAAAGCTTTTGTAATACTTCAAGTATCAATAAAGCTAAGAGTTTCTATAGAGATAGTAGGAACTGCAGATTTCTGAAGAAGGGTCTAGGCTCGAAACGTCAGCCTTCCTGTTCCTCTGATGCTGCTTGGCCTGCTGTGTTCATCCAGCTCTACACCTTCTTATCTAAGAGTTTCTATACTTCATTTTCAGACTATATAAAGAAACGTGTTTACTGGGTGGACTCTAATCTCCATGAAATTTTCTACACTGATCTGAATGGACTTTATCACAGAAGTGTCTTTCACTCTCCGAAGTACTTGGCTAATCCATTTGGGCTGGCAGTCTTTGAGGTAAATATTACAGTTTTTAGAATCGCAGGGCTCTTTCACTTTCACTTAATGATCAACATAGAAAATGTGTGAGTCATTTAATATAGAATTATTTCCATTGAGTTCTTTGGACATTTTTTAGCATGTCCATAGTTATGTTTCTTAGAGTTTGTTTTGACTATCTTAGGCAGAAGGGGAAGAATTTTACAGTAATTCTTTGCCATCTTTTTGCCTTTCCCAGGGTCTAACATTACCAGCTGAGATTAGGGAGGATAGTGCCCAAAGTCTCTCAGCTTAATGCACTGAGTGAACAATCAATGGATCTGATGTTACAAAGACACAAAGAACATAAGAACAGGAATGAGCCATTCAGCTTGTCAAACCTGTTTGGCCATTCATTCAGATTATAGATACATATTGGGTGCCATTGGAGCTCAGCAAAATTATCCAGTGCAAATTATCTTTAAATTTAAAACACCTTAAGACTAATTTTAAAGGAGCTGAAATAGTTGCTTGAAAGCATAATTGAAAAGTATGAGATATGAATAGAACCTTGTAAAGAGTCCTTTGTAATGTTTATGTTACCCCATGGCCAATGATAATTACAATGATGATACACTTTTGTATGGATCTTTTTACAAATTGGTTTACAATAAGTATTTACATTCTGTTGGGAAAGTTAAATTGAAACATTGATGTCAAACTGAGAAATTCTCAACCATGTGTGGAGTGATGTTCCAACTGAAAAATACATGAAATTTCAGTTTTATTTATTTTTGTAGTACATTAATCTAAATGAGCCGCATGAAGTTCCCAGTTTAGCTTGAATACTATATTCGTCTAACATGATGAAACATTTGTCTCCAGGATCGTGCCTATTGGTCAGATGTGGATGGCAAGGCTGTGTACAGCATTAACCGGTTTAGAGGAGCGAATGTGACAGTTCTGGCACTAAATCTCACCGACCCACGAGGCCTTGTCATGTTTCACAGGCTGATGCAGCCAATTGGTATGAGAGTATGTCTTAACTGAGCAACTTTAGAATTTTAGAAGAACCCCTACAGTGTGGAAACAGGCCATTTGGTCCAAAAAGTCCACACCAACTCTCTGAAGAGCATCCCAGACTCACCCCTTTGCCTTATCCCTGTAACCCTGCATTTCCCATGGCTAACCTACACATCCTTGGACACTATGGGCAATTTAGCACGGCCAGTCCACCCAACCTGCACATCTTTGAACTGTGGGAGGAAACCGGAGCACCCGGAGGAAACCCACGCAGACACTGGGAGAATGTGCAAAATCTGAACAGACAGTCACCCAAGGCTGGAATTGAACCTGGGTCCTTGGTGCTGTGAGGCAACAATGCTAACCACTGAGCCACTGTGCTGTTGCATTCTCTCTCCAAGCATGGATTGCTGATGTTACTCAAAAGCTCTTGCCTTTTCATTCGTAATATTGCTCTTTAAAAGAATGTATGAAGCCAGCCATCGAGCCATACAGCACGAAACAGACCCTTTGGTGTAACCAGTTCATATCAACCGTAATCCCAAACTAAACTAGTCCCACCTGCCAGCACTTTGTTCATACCCCTCCAAACATTTCTTATTCATGTACTTATCCAAATGTCTTTTAATCGTTGTAACTGTATCTGCAGCTACCACTTCCTCTGCAAGTTCATTCCACACATGAACCACTCTGTGTATAAAAAAAATTACCTCTCCTGTCTTTTTAAAATCTTTTTTTGTCTCACCTTTTATAAAAAAAAAAAAAAATGCCCCGTCTTGAAATCCCCCACCTGAGGGAAAAGACACCTGCCATTCGCCATATTTATACCTCTTATGATTTTATAAACCTCTATAAGGTCACCTCGCAACCTCCTACACTCCTGTGAAAAATGTTCCAGCCTCTCCTAACTCAAACTCTCCATACCTGGCAATATCCTGGTAAATCTCTCCCAAACCCCCTCCAACTTAATAATGTCCTTCCTTAAATAGGGAGACCACAACTGGACACAGCAGTCTAGAAGAGGCCTCACCAGTGTCCTATACAACTTCAATATTTCCTATGCTGAAAGGTCTGAGCAATGAAGGCAAGCGTGCTAAACTCCTTCTTAACCACCCTATCTATCTGTGATGCAAACTTCAAAGAATTATGTACCTACAACATTACCCAAGGCCCTACTTTTAATTGTATAAATCTTGCCTTTGTTTGTTATACCAAAATGCATAACTCCCATTCATCCAAATTGAACTCCATCTGCCACTCCTCAGCCCATTGACCCAATTGCTCAAGATCTCTTTGTAACCTTAGATAAGCACCTTCACTGTCCACTATACCACTGATCTTGATGTCATCTGCAAACTTACTAACCACACATTCTATATTCTCACCTACATTTTAGAATATGAATTTTAAAACCAGCCCTTTAAAAGAGATTGTTATTGAGTGCTGTGCATGTCTTAAACTGATAAATTTGGTGTAAGGCACACAAACCACTATTTTAAGCTATCAGAACCAACATTGTCTTTAATAGACATAAAAGATCGAAGTTTTTGAGATGGATTGCCCTGCTCAATGAAAGTGCTTATATATAAATGCACGTTAGTTTTTGATCTGAGTTATGCCACTTGGCTATTACAAGAGCTGAGTGAAGTAAACTTGAGTAACTCCAGCACCCCGTCACCATAAAGAATAGGCGCAGGAGTAGGTAATTCAGCCCTTGAAGCCTGCTCTACCTTTGGTTGCTGATCCAATCCACTTCATTCCCTGCTCTCACTTGTAGATCAAGAATTTGTCTTACTCAGCCTCTACTGCTCTCTGGAAGAGATTTCTGCAGGCTAATAACCCATTGAAGGAAGAAATATTGCACATTTCAGTCTTGACTGAGAAACCCATGCTGTTCTATATTCCTCCAAAAGGGGAGGTTTCTCAGTGTTATTCCATTTGAAGTCTCCTCGATCTCTTTTAAGTAAAGAATGCCTCTCATTCTAAACTCCAATGAGGTACATAGCCAACTTGCTCGACCTTTCTCTAGGTGCAGATGCACCAATGCAGTTGTAACAGGCCTTCACACTTTAGAGTAAGGTGGAGGGATTATAAAGGCCAGCATTCAGTTTATCTTTATAATTACTCACTGCGCCTGCATGCTGACATATTTTGCTCAGTCTAAACCTTGTTGCATTTGGGTGTAGATTTTATCAATATCAAAGGATTCACAAATGGTGCTGAACAACATTGGTGAACATCCCTGTATCTGACTTACGATGTTGAAGTGGCTGAAGATGGTTAATGCCAGGACACTCACTTAACCTATCTAAATTCCTTTATGGACTCTGTGAAGCTTTCAACCTGCTCTCCACCTATCATTTGTAATTGTATTATCAGGTCATTTGATTACCAATTAAGTTGGTCCCTTGGCAACAAAGACCATGTTGGAGGTTCCTTTGGAGGGTCTAAGCCACACTTTATCAGACTGTTGCTTTTGTTCATGATAATATGACTGCAACTGTTTTCAGTGATAGACCTGAAACAGGTGCCTTCGGACCAAAGTTGAGCAAGGCTGTGTGATGCTGCCGCACAATTTATTATTGAACTGAAATGGCTGTTCACCTCATCAAAAGTCGGTTGCTGTTTGGTGTGAGTACTGTCTGAATGGAAAATTCTAGCCTCAGTCACCTCTATACCAAAACTAGATTGACCACATAGACCACACTGACCTGAAATATATGGATGACTGCAGTGTCCTTGCCCCCTCTGCACCAGATTTGCACACCACTCTTCAATTTGGAAGAGACTTGGTCTGTTATTGAATGTTGCCAAAATAAAACCTAATATCAAACCACGTGGTCAGTCAAATATTCCTCCTCCTCCTCCTATGAAGACATTCTGGAATACATTGAACCCTTCCCACCTAGGCAGTGACCCCTGTTGAAAGACCACTGTTGACAAAGAGATCCAACACTGGCTCAGCTTTGCTAGCTTAACCTTCTACAGACTATAATGGTGAGTGTTAGCAAATAAGACCTTTACAAGTGTAAAGCAGTAAATGTCACCACACTCTTATGCTACAGTGATACAGTGTGTATGAGCCACACAACACTAGAGGAATTCATCAGTAATGCCTCTGCTAGATTCAACAGGAGGACTATTGAACAAATGTCCTATAAGTGCCTTATTTAATTATTAATTTTAGATTATGCCATCTGGTTCTCACTGACTCCTGCTCCACCTCCTCAAATTGCCTCATATTTTTGAGAAAACATCAGATCAGCACTCTTTCCCACACTGAATTCCCAACTTTTGTTTTCTGTTTCTGTATAACTGACACTGTGCTGCTTAGGGTAGAAGCATTACTAGGCTGTGTTTTATCAGATATAATGTATAATATTTGGTATCTCCTCTCCAGTCAAATGTTTAAGAAATTCTGTGCAAAATTTTCCTGCATAAGGGGAGATATCAGCAATCTGAAACCAAAATAAAGGCAATTGGCACATTAGGCAGCATCTCCCTAAAGAGAGTAGGATTTTCCACACTCATCCTATGTTGATGCTAACGTGCTGATTGTGTTTAGCTCTGGTCCTAATTTGCGCACTTTTTTTTCTTTGTGTTTAATTTTTTTTGTGAAACAGTGCGGAACTGGTGTGTTGAAGAACATGCTGCTTGTGAGTACCTGTGTGTGCCTGCTCCTTACACTGAGCAACAGTACACATGCTTGTGCCCAGATGGTGTGATACCCATCGGGTCTGGACATACATGTGAAAAAGGTAAGATAAATCATTGCCTAATTGAGAGTAGATCCGTTTGGAGGAACAGGCCACTGTAAATCGTTTTCATATAGTCTCTGGGTCTTAGGGATTGGTAACCCTCTGCTTCTTAGAGGTCCATTCTTTAGGGGTTTCTAAGAGAATGAGTTATTTCTCTCTGTGACACCACTACTGAGCCTAATTCTGTCATAGAATCATACAGCACAGAAGAAGCTGTTTGGCCCATCTAGTCTGTACCACCAAAAATACACTAAAATCTACATTGTTCTCACTTTCTTGTTCTAGGCCTATAGCCTTTAATGTTATGGCACATTAAGTGCTCATCCAAGTACTTTTTAAAGTTTGTGAGGTTTCCTGCCTCAGGCAGTGTATTCCAGACCCCTTCACCCTCTGGTTGAAATAGTTTTCCCTCAAATCCCCTCTAAACCTCCTGCCTTCCACTTTTAAAATTATGCCCTCTTGTTATTGCCCCTCAGGTAAGGGGAACAGCTGCTTTTTATTCAGCCTGTCCGTGCCCCTCATAATCTTACACACCTCAATCAATCCCCTCTCAGCCTTACTATCACCCTATCACCCTGTCAGCCTTGTCTGCTCTGAAGAAAATAACCTTCACTGCCAGAATCACTGTAGCACTGCACAGCAATTAGAGATGGGAATCCCAAGTTGGCTTATCATTTATCTCCCCGAGGCCACTTTGCATGGTCTATCTGAGATGCAGTAACCCTACACAGACTGAATAGTGGGATAGTGCAGGTATTAGTATTTGGATCATAACTGTATATATTCTGTACCAGTGGTGTAGGTGAGGGGACCAAATGTGATGTGTCCAAGTTTGCTGATACAAATCTAGATGTGAAGGTAAGGAGGGATTCAACAAAACTGCAAAGGAATCTAGACCAGTTACATAAGTGAACAGCAATGAGGTAGGTCAAATGTGGGAAGAAAAAGCAGAAAATTTTGTTTTCTACCCGAGTGTTCTGCTACATGAATCTTCAAAAGTTAAAATGCATGTACAGCCACCATTCAACTGGTTTATTTCAATTGTGTAGGGCCTTGATGAGGATGCATCAGGAGTACACTGTGACCTGTTTTGATCTCCTTAGTCAAGGAAGGATAAATTTGCCGTAGGAGTTCCGTGAAGGTTTACGAGACTTGACTTGATTTGATCTGATTTATTATTGTCACGTGTACTGAGATACAGTGAAAAGTATTGTTTGACATGTTAACCAGACAAATCATACCTTACGTAAGTACATCAGAGTAATAGAACAGAATGCAGAATATGGTGTTACAGCTACAGAGAAGCTGCAAAGAAAGATCACCTCTAATATCATAGATTCCCTATGGTGTGGAAACAGGCCGTTCGGCCCAACAAGTCCACACTGTCCCTCAGAGAGTCCCACCCCGACCCATCCCCCTATAACTCACCTAATCTACACATCCCTGAACAATACGGGCAATTTAGCATGGCCAATCTAATTAGCCTGCACATCTTTGGACTGTGGGAGGAAACCCACGCAGACAATGTGCAAACTCCACACAGACAGTCGCCTGTGTGTGGAATCGAACCTGGGTCCCTGGCGATGTGAGGCAGCAGTGCTAACCACTAAGCCACCGTGCCGCCCCTAATATATGAAAGGTCCATTCATAAGTCTGATAACAATGGGGAAGAAGCTATTCTTAAATCTGTTGTTTTGTGGGTTATGGTCTTTGCTAGGGGTAGAGATTGTGTGAACTGGGCCTGTATTAAATGCAATCGGAAGAATGAGAGGTGATCTCATTGAAATACATGATATTCTTTGGGTGTTTCGCTGGCTGGCAGTTGAAAACCAGGTCTGTCAATTTCAGTACAAGATGAGAAATTTCTTCGCTCAGTGTTGTGAACCCTTGGGATTCTGTCTCCTAGGGGGCCAAACGTGCTCAGTTGAATATAATCTTAGTAGGGATAAAATGTTGTGTATAAAGGAAAACGAGGAATACGGTGATGGGACAGGAAAGCAGAATTGAGGAAGAAGATAAGCCAAGATCTTATTGAGTGGTGGAGCAGACTTGAGGGGCCGAATAGTCCCATCCCACTTCTACTCCTTATCTATTTACAGCTTAGTTCTATCCTGGTTGGTACCTTTTCATCAAAACATTACCTTCATAAATGACTTTTGGCTGTATATTTCAGAAACAGACTCCGGCGCTTCCTCGCGGGAGCGGGACGACTCCGGCGCTTCCTCGCGGGATGACCTGAACCAGCTTGATGCTGTATCTGTTGGAATTATCGCTCTGATTGGCAAGTTTCTTTTTGTTGCACATTAAATGTTTCTACTTCAAAAAGCCATGTGGTGCTGTGGGGAGAATTCTTCACATTTCAAGACCTAAATTCTTATTGAGAACCGATCTGCTTGTTGGACTAAATGCAGGGCAGGATTGAAGAGATACAGTGAAAAGCACTATTTTGCGTGTTAACCAGATAAATCATGCCATACATAAGTACATCAGAGTATTCGGATAGAATGGAGGATATAGTGTTACAGCTACAGAGACGTTCCAGAGAAAGATCACGAGGTGCAGAGCTGGATGAACACAGCAGGCCAAGCAGCATCATAGGAGCAGAAAGGCTGACGTTTCGGGCCTAGACCCTTCATCAGAAATCTGATGAAGGG